CGGGACCGGCTGCTGGGGGCTCACTGCTTTTTGGTTTTGGCGCGCTGTGCCCCCCAGCAGGGAGTGGACTGGCTCTGTTGTCTGAGTCCAACGCTGAAGGTGAAGTTCTGCGGGGTTCTGATGCTCGTTTGGGGTTTTCTGGCCTCTCGGGGACGTCGTCTTGAGTCTGACCCGGTTTAATGGATTGAAGAGCGACGGCAGCGGGCCTCGTTCCTCGACACGGCCTCCTCCTGACAGAAACTGAGGTTCTGGTTTCCTCATCAGGTCCAGAACCTTCTGCTCCCTCAAACAACAAGATTCATTAAAACCAACAAATCAAACGCACCCCGAGACTCCTGTCCCACCACATGCTTTTATTTTGAAACTCTTTCTCCTCTCCTGTCAATCAGCAACATTCAGCTCTCTACGTCCTTCAACCGGAGCAGAACCTTCACATGTCCACCCCCCCCCCCCCCCCCCCCCCCTGTCCTCACCCTCCCCCCCCCCCCCCCATCCCCGTGTCTCCACCTGACCCCCCTCCCTATCCTCCTGGTGTCTGCACCTCCCCATCCTCATCCTGTATCCATCTGACCCCCCTCCCCCGTGTCTCCATCTGACCCCCACTTGTGCCCTAACACAAACACGGCCTCAGCAGGAGCTCCGGGGCTCGGCCGTGTCAAGGAAGGAGGAGAACCGAAGACAGGAAGTGCCGAGGAGCTTCATGCATCGTCCAGTTCTGTCCTCGAGCTGACCCAGCTGACCCCATCGCCTCTGAATCCTGTCGTCATGGTAACAACATCACACTGCTGCGATTGGGTAGTTTCCTGGCTGATGAGTCTTTTTTTTTTAAAACTTTTAAATAAAAACGTGTTTTTATCGTAAAACATAATTTCTAAACTCAGTCCGAGAACAAGAAAGCTTCAGAGTTCTCGTGCTGAAGGTCCAAAAGAAAAGAGGTTTGAAACGGGCGTCTCGTTTGCGACTCTCTTCCTGTGATGTCATTAAGCCGTCGCCTTCTCTACAGCGTCCACGGCGTGTGGACAGGTCTGACGGCGGCGGGGGTGTTAGTGTCAGAGGAGACGAAGCTCTCGAGAGGAAAACGAGAAAAAGTATCAAAATCCACTCAGGCACAGACGTGACGGCTCGAGGCGAGGACCCCAGGAGTCGAGGGTCTCCTGGTGTGGAGACGAGTTCCTCATGTCCTGCAGAGACACTGATCTCTCTGGTGTCTTCAGGACCTGTCACTCCTTCAGATGGATTAAAAAGCTAAACAGTTTGATGTGGAGCGTCTCCTTCGAGCGTCGTCAGGTCCACCTCCTGTCCTCCTGTCTGAGGCTGTTTTACAACTATTGCACATATCCTCAAGAGTACACTTCATAATCTGACAGAACAGAAGCAAAAAACAAACGAAAGACTGAAAAAATGTTCAAAATCCCTTCCAAGTAGGTGAGATCAGTTGTTGTATGGCATGCCATGATGTATGACATGATGTATGACATGACATGATGTATGACATTATATTGTCATATCATACATAATGACATGTATGACATGATATGACATGACATAATGTATGACATGATGTATGACATTATATTGTCATATCATACATCATGACATGTATGACATGATGTATGACATTATATTGTCATATCATACATCATGACATGTATGACATGATGTATGACATGACATGATGTATGGCAAGATGTATGACATGACATGATGTATGGCAAGATGTATGACATTATATTGTCATATCATACATCATGACATGTATGACATTATATATGACATGACATGATGCATGACATGATGTATGACATGACATGATGTATGACATGATGTATGACATTATATTGTCATATCATACATCATGACAT